GTGGTGTTGTGAGTTTATGGATGAAATAACCATGCTGTGTCACTATACAACATCTCACAGAATGCCTCCTCATCCTCAAGTTCTTGTACTCTTTCTGTTTCCTCTTCTACGATGTTTCCTAAGTCTTCAGTAAAGGCTTGGTGATGAGCATGTCCCATTTAGGGTTGTGTTCTCATAGATTTTATTCTTAGCAGGCAGACTCTGCATTGATTCCTGACAACTAAAAATGAATAAATACATAAATAAATACATAATAAATAAATAAACAAATACTTAGAAGACAATTTGACAACATGAGCATTTAGCAAAACAATAGCAACTTCTAACTTAGAACTGTGACCTCTCCGCCATGAGGCTTTGACTAGATTACCAGTACCAAACATGAAATTCTTGTGGAACAGGCCTTAAATACAATCAGAAAGCTGTTTGTTACCCCATAACCATGTGAACCAGTAGACATACACTGCCTGGCTGGTAGGTAGTGCAGCATAATGTGTTCCACATGGATAATTCCACCGATGTCTTTTTTTTTTTTTCTACCAGCAGCCTGCATAGGACATCTCAGTGCAACAAAAGGAGGGAGGAAGTTTCCCAATTGCTTCGAGAGTGATTTCTTTATGTCCCAGAGCCAAACCAGGTTGTGTTTTCACCTACAGGATTGTGTTGTGTAGCTATGGTAGATGATAAGCAAGGGCAATGGAAATAGCCTTTTGTGCTAAAATCATATTTTTTAAAACTAGGAAATTCTCTATATCTTCTTGATTTTCCAAAATGCCAGTCCCTTGGTTTCCTACTTTTCAAGATAGAAAGAGGCTATCAAGTGAACAGGGCCAGAGCTGAAGTAACATAGACTCCAACTATGCAACTTTCTCTCCTCCATGCTATCAGAAACAATATATTACTAACATGCTTAACGATCACAGGAAATGTGACCGGTCAAGAGAAAGTATACTTGTTAGAATTCTTTTCAGAAAGACAACATCATGAGTAGAAAGCTTTATATCAGAAGAATTAGAGAGATGGGCTTCCAAATAAAGTACTTGCTGTAGGGATATGAAGACATGAGTTCAAATCCCTCAAACATACATAAAATTAGCACAGGTCTATAACAACTGTGATACTATGCTGAGAAGGAAGACCCAGTCTGGAATATCTCCCAGAAGCTTATGGACCTGCTAGCCTGCCCTATTCAACAAGGCTCTCTTTCAAATAATGTAGAAGGTGAAGACCAATACCTGAGTTTGTCTGCTGACTTCCACAATATCCTGTGACTTACATGCCCTTGAACATTCATAAACATGCATCATAAACACACATGCATATGCACATGCATAAATAAAAATTTAAAAGTTACATACTGAGGAACTGATGTGGATTAGATTGAGACCTTGGGGAGGAGATCATACAACAGTGGATGTCTTTTGTATGTCCATTGCTGGGAGTGAATGAGAGACATATGCAACGTGGTTTTAACTTCCATAAAGGGATGCTCAAGATGATGGGTGAGGTGATTCTCTGCAGACACTCCTTGATTCATCACCACTCAGTAAATTACCACACTCTAAATATATGTGGAGATTACTGAAGGAATATTCTCCAGTCCAATTAATTGAAAGGGCTCTAAACATCTATCAAAATCAGGCAAAACTTAGGAACTTCTCATTAAGATACAGATATTCTTAGGTCTTATGTTTTGTTCTTTTTATCAAAAGAGAGTTTGTATCTTCCTTTTTTTCCTTGCTCATCAAGAGGACATAGACATCACTCTTCTTCTAATGAGAGAATAAACATTAGAACCTGTGAAGTAACGTATTCCTGAATTCCCACACTAGCTTTATGATTCCATATTTTAAAATGTGTATAAGCTAACATTGAAATATTGGTTCACCTATGGTTATAAGCATTCACTTCTCTTTAATTTTGAGAGATTCTGGTACAGACATGAAATTTTCTTTTTAGACCAAGATTACATCCTGGTGTCACTGTTTATACTTAAGAGCCTGGATATTGTAAAATTAGGCACATAACATTACATTCTTTAGTTGAAAACTAAAGATCTTTAGGGTACAAAGAAGCCAGCTGACTCAGCTTATATCGCCTGTTCATGAAGCTGACTAGTGAACTTCAGAATAATAATTATGATATGAAGTTGGAATGAATCTTGGATCTAATATTCAGCATGCATAAACTTAGAACTGAGAAGCAAAATTATATATGCTACTATATATTCTCTGTGATGCAAACAGTAAGTCTTGTCTTCTAACTACTCCTTGAAAGATGCCTTTCACTGTGAATCATTGACTATTTACTATGAGAGGTTTATTTTCCTCTCTCTGAAGCTTATTCCCCCTCCCCAGTTTGCAGCACTTTAATAACAGGAAGGGTTTCCCTCCAGAAAACCAGTGAAGCAAAAAAGAAGCTTCATGGAGCCATACTGAGCAAATGAAAGCATATCACATTAATTCAGTCTCCTTCTGGTGAGTTATCAACTATGGAAAGTTAAAAAAATAAACAAAACTTCAAACAGAAGATTACATATACACGAAGTTTTGAGAGGTTTTTTTTTTTGTTCCTTTTACATGCGCTAAATGAAAACCTTCCTAAAGCTGCTGAAGCTTTCTGACATCACAAAGCCCTTCTCTGTGAGTCACTGAATTGCTGAAACCCAGAAAATCTAATTTAGTTTAGGTCTGTTTGATAATGTAATAACACAGTAAAATGTGATTCACCAATTAGCTCATGTAATTGAATAATCAAAAACATGCTCCGAGTAAGTCACTGAGGCATAGTCCATCACCCTTGTGGTTCTATATTTTTCTGATTACAACTGCAGGTACATCTTCCATCAGTGATGTTTCTCATGAAAGAGAACTGACAAATATTTGTGGTTGTAGATCGGTAGAGTACTTAGCTTCAGTACTCCTTGGTTTCTCTTTGCTGTTTCATCAGCTCCCTCTTGACCAAGTTCTACATTGAGTAAAGGAGCTGACTATCTAGCCCCTGTCTCCATAGAGTGCTTAGTCTCATATTCTGTATTTCAATTGCATAAGGATGGAACCAAACTGATGTTAACACCTTAAGGAAATCACCATTTCGTGGTTGGAAAACTGTCTCCCTAGATAATTCCTAAATTCTAATGGCACTGCTGAGATATACTTTAGGGAGGGAAAAAAAAGCAATAAAAAAATTTGAGAGGTTTTTCTCTGAAATTTTAATCAAGTAAAAAGAAATCTGTAGTAGATAAAAATAGGAATTGACTATTTGGCGATCGTTTTCCAGCATTTCCTTATAATTCTCAATCCACATCTGTTGAAATGTAGGTGCCTGGCTATATTCAAAATCTATTTCTCTTCATAAAAGCAAATCAACTAAAGGATTGTTTAGGTTGTTGAAACAATTTCTAATGAGGAATTGCAAAATATCCTAGTTTATTTATTTATTCCTTCTGAAGTATTTGAACATGCTTTCATGGTCCATGGCTTCCTAGCAAGCAAAGTGAAGAGTAATTGGAATATGTTACTGGAACTTGAGTCACTAAAGAGGTGGAATTTATTCACTGACTTGGTTATTATTTAATGTAGTTTTGCTCCTTGAGAGAAAGAAGAAACAGGAGGAGCAGGAGGAAAAATGAGTGGGCAGAAGAGGAACAGAGTAGAGGAGGAAGAGATGGGGAGAGAAGAGAAAGATCACGTGTAGCTTTGCCCTGCCTTTTTTTTAAATAATTTATTTATTTTTTCTCAAATCGTAATTCATTCACACAGGGGTTATAAACACAGACAGGCAGGATGTGGGGAAGGGGATGTCACTGGAGTGTGGGTGTTCAGGGGGAGTACAGATATCTTTCAGAACAGGGTATCAGCTGGGTGAAGGTTCAGGGGACAGGTCACTATGACTCTGCCTATGACTCACTTGTCCTTATCTAAGTTGGTATTGTCTACCAAGGCTACCTATTTACAAGGTCTATGACTACTCAGGCTGGTAAATTTCCACATAAGCTGCCTGTTTACAATAGCTTATAGCCATCTGTTTCAATGTTTTTCCACAGAGACCCAAAACTTGGTGTTAGTATACATGTATGACAGGCCTATTGCTGATTTTAGGCCTATGGCTGATTTTAGGCCTTCAATGTGTAATTAGGGCTGCCCCTGACATCTCCTCCCTTCTCTAAGTATAGAAGGGCTATGGCGATTCTAATCATTCGAAGGCAGGAATAGAGGCCTGACCTCCAGTATTTGAAGGGGACCTTGTAATGGCTGTGGTCCCTCTGTTATTGTACAGTGAGGCGTGAGTTACCCTGCCTTTTTAAAGGTCATACTTTAGCTTTTGTCAATGAGATTTAAACTGTTGTTAGCAAGAAATTTCCTTTGTAATTATATCATTACTCTTTTTTTATCTAATTTTTTTTAATTTTTTTTATTGGATGTTTTATTTACATTTCATGTGTTGTCCCCTTATCCCAATATCATTACTCTTAAATGGTTTGTTATTCATAAACTTACAATGAATATTTTCTATTGTCCCTTTTCATTAAAAAAACAACAAATAATAACATTCTTAAGGGATGGAATCATTAATTATTTTTGTAGCACTTCATCTTGTTTGGGAAAAAAAATAATCAAAAGCATAACATGAAGAAAATTTTCTGGAAGGACAGGTGCATGTCACCATTCCTGGAGTTCCTTGTCATTTTTAAGTGTAGAATGTCATAGTCAAAACTCATTAGTAATTTTCATACTTTTTTCCCTATTAATAGGTCAATGGAACAGAAATTGAATATGAATTTGAAGAAATTACACTGGAGAGGGTAAGAAAATTTTTAAATCTTTAACTTTTCATTCTACCTTCTAGGTCTGATATTTGTTTGTCTTGTGAAAATGCAAAATTGTATTTCTTAACCCAAAGTGCCATGCAAGACTTACAGGGAGAATATTAGTGAAATATTTGCAGTTGAGAGAACTGGGATAAAAGACAAGAATAACCAGAATGTTCAGTGTTTGTAAATTATGTGGCCAGGACTTGGAGAAACTAATGGGAAAGGCAGAAGGGGCCCGGGAGCTTGTGCAGCTCTATTCTGAATGTTTTGTTATGAATGATTTGTTATTAATGTTTAATGCTTGAAATTATGATTTAGCGGCATGTTTTCACGACATACTACAAGATGTTCTCAATTGTGTGATATTGATGTTGTAATCTGACGGAGGGCTACCACACATCTATTTCATTAACAAAAGGAGAAATAAACTTAAACCCTGACCACAGAGGCAGATGCACAGCATCACTGCAGAGCTCTGAAAAATATGTGTTAAGGACCTGCCAATGATTTCTGACAAATAAAGAACCTCTGCCTACAGCCCTAATGTATTTACATATTTTACAAAACACACACACAAAATATCAAAGGCCGTCTAGGAAAAGACAATGTCAGAAAGCATCAACATGATACTTAATATCTTTCTATAGGTGAGCATAAAACTGCTCACTTACTGTTGTTAGGAAATGAAGACAAGGAACATGAATAGTTAGGGACCTAATTGGCAAATATTTCAAAGGAGTCTTAATATCCAGTGACAATAACCAGTTCTGAAAATTAGTTAATTTGAAAATAGCGATCAAAAACCTTGGTTTAAAAAAAAGCATAGCTTTAGCACAATTACATACATAAGAATAGACAAATTTCACAACTGCACATATGTATACTGTTTAAAACAGTGAAAGCTTAAAATTATGTTTACTGCTTTATTATAAAATCACGTAAAATTAATCATATTAAGTTTAAATATTGTTTATAATGGTGAAGGCTTAAAAATATGTTTACTATGTCACAATATACCCATATAATATTAATCAAATTAAATTAAATACAATTAAATTTTAAATTATATTTCAATATCATTTTAGAATACTTTGTAATTGCAAGAGTACAAAGCATATCTCAATTGTATTAAACAATTTTAAAATAATTTTAATGTAGCTTAAAATGTAATCTAATATCAATTAAATCAAACTGAATAAAACTCTTTAACTTTACATTTCCAAAAGTGTTAATTAAAATTTTAAAGTGTTCTGTTCTTTAAAAAATAAAAGAGGAAAAATTAAACATTGGGAAAAAAGACCCCCGACAGGCTGGTTGAAGCTTCTCATCAGCTGAGAATCAAGGACTCCAGCACAATTTACAATATTATTTGTGAGGGTTACTGACAGATATTAGCAAGCAACTTACTTTGTAAATAGAGACTCACCCTTAGATGATTTGTTTTCTATAAACTCAAAATGCATATTTTATATGGTCCTCTCATACAAAAAAGCAAATCACAACACTCAGGATGGAGTCATTGCTGATTAATTTTGTAGTCTTACATTTCATTTTGGCAAAAACATAATCAAAAGCTCAACCATGAAAGAAATGATTAGGTATGGCATGTGTGTGGTGGCAATATGGTTTGTGAAGCACAATGCAAAATGAAAATGGTGAGCCTTCTAAACCCAGAACATATGTAACTAAACTGGTCTCACTGTGTACTTGATTCTTCTCTCCCTGAGTTATCCTTTTTATAGAGAGATGTTTCATATAAAAATAATAATGAAGTAGATTTAAGGCCCGAATTGTATGACTTCTGTTAAGACTTCGTTCATTTCTATGACACTTTCTTGTAACGGCCGTTTCTTTTGTAACGGCCGTCGGGTTCTGCTACTTTGTAAAGGCCGGCCGGTTCTGCTGCTCCGGTCGGCAGGTCAGGGTCTAGCAAGAGAGAGTGGGGACGGAGGAAGGGGAAAAAAGGGGCGAGAGACGCAAAAGATAGATACAAGCCAGAGTCCGGTGGAGTCTCTTCAAGTCTTCTTTATTCTCCTACTACTTACTACCTCTACCTCTACTCCTCGACTCCTCTACTCTTCTACTCTTATAGAAGGGAAATCCTGGGTATTTATACCCTTTACCACGTGACTTGCCCTCGTGGACAATCTCAACTGAAGCCACTACGTCACGTGCCTTGTAGCCATGGATACCAGGAGCACCTGGCAGCTGGGGGCACTAAACAGTGTAACAAGATGTTTATCAGAGTGCGCTCAGCTATTGCAGGCTGTTGAAACAAGTCTCTTGTCAGGGTATATGGCTTGAGATGGCTGTAAAGATGATAGCCACTTTCGGCTAAGAGTCGGCTCCCAACACTTTCTAGAATCTCAAATAAGGCTATTAACTTTTATTTGCAGTGAAGGTATCCTACCTCCCTGCATCCCTAGGTCCTAAGGTTTTACCATAGCAACTGTATTAGTGTCAGATGCACCTTGGGAATCATTCTATAAACCCATTTATATTTAGCAACTCTTGAGAATAATACCCCAAGAAGTTACCAAAATCCATTTAATAACTGGTGTACATAGTAATGTTTGTCTCTCTTTTGAGAAACCCACACTTGGAAGTGTCAACAAAAAAGAGAACTGTTCTCTATCCTAACTTAACAGACTATAGTTCTGCACTTGGCTTTTGTCCTGGCATTAGATTGATTGTTGGACCAAGTGTTAGGTCTATCTTGTACTTTATAAATCACAAAATAGTAATAGCTGTGCTTGATATATATTTTGAGAAAAAGTTGGGTTGTTTTTTTATTATTCTAACAGAAAGGGTGAAATGTGGCAGAAATTTACCTGCCCGATCTATTTTAAATATTAGAGCAGCAGGAGGCCTGTGAGTTGACCGGTAAAAGGGAATTGGAGCTAAGGGGGGGGAGCGGAAATTGTAAACCAGCGTGGCTTTAACCAGCAATAGGTAGATATGAAACTAAAAGTTTAGGATAAATGGGATAAATTGCCTAATCTGTGTTAGCATCTTAGCACTATCAATTGGCCTTGAAATCTTGGTATTTGAGTATTTGATGATATATAAATCTGATTGGTTAACTATAAGCATTTAGAGTTTTGATTTTACCAGGTGATGGGTGTTGTGGTGGCTGATCACAGGATAAAAGATCATTTGTGGGGCTAGCATGGCCGCAAGGGGAGCTTTGGAGCTCCAACCCTACTGGAGAGCCTGCCAAGATGAAGACACCCTGCTGGAGGCAGGTAGCCCACCGGTGCTAGACTTACTGGAACATAGTAACTGAGCAGGGAGCCAGATGCCTTATTTTTAATACCTATCACTACAAAACGCCTAGATCTTACTTTATTTTTAACCTACCTATGGTCTGACTTCCACGCACAGAGACAATTTAAAATCATCTCTGTCACAGTTATGTAGGTTTCTGTATTGCTCAACCAGAGCACCAGTTCCCAGTCCTAATTGATTTGTCAGAAACATTTGGTGTGTCTGTTTAGCTGTCACTAGGCCATCAAAGATGTCTTTTTTAAAAGAAATTAGAACATAAAGGTTTTCTATGCTCTCTTTACTTTGCTAGCTTCCCAACTGTTCCTGTAAATGTTGTATTATTTCAGATACCAAATGAAAATACCTCTTTCACCAGCTCTCCTTCTCCTAGAGTGCCATATCTCATTTAGATCCACACCTTAAACTCTCCAGTTGACATCCTTCCTGAATCTGAAGCTGTGACCTTGTTCCTCAGCTACTGTGCACAGCTAACTGTCAATCTCCCATATTTGCTTAAATGCCAAGGGCTCTCTTCCCCTGGGCTCCTTCCCTTCTTCCCAAAGCTGCCTCTCTACTGGCAGTCCTTGTCTGAGCTAACTGGATCTGCTCTTTCCCTTATTATTCAGCCAAAATTATCTCCAAAGAATCATTTATTTATATTCTTCAGGATCTATGAGCAAGATTGCATATACTTCCATAAAACACATATATCAAAACCAACCTGTTTTTATTACCTATTAAATAAGCTCACCCATGCCTGGAACACTCCAGTAGCCTGCTTCACTGTTGTCCAAGTAACTATGGTAATAGTTTTCACAATGTAAGCCAGACTGCACCACTTTTATTACTAAAAACAAAACAAAAATAAAAACTCCCAAAGGATGAAAATTGCACTGAGCATCACTATCCGTAAGCATTATTGACCATTATCAGATGGCTTCCCCGATCCTCTCTCTTCACACAGCTTGCTCCATCTGCACACTGACACTCTTGGGATTCCTCAAAATGCCATGCTTTTCTCACCTCAATGCCTTGCTAACAGCTATTCTTTCTGCTTGGAGGAATCTTCCTTTACACGGTTACATCCCTTTTGTGTATATATATATATATGATATGTGTGTCCTTTCTCCAGATTGTTAATACCCATCACTTCCAGAATATATGCTATTGCTACTTACTCAATGACTTCTGTATCTCATTTGTCCAAAATAAGCTGTACACTGTAGCAGTAAGCAGAAAAGGTATGTGAATCACTTGTGCCTCTGCTACTGGAAAGACAGTGAAGGAGTTTCATGTAGCCTGGTATAAAATCAGTTTTAAAATACTCTAATAGTTGCTGTTCAGATGACCTTGAACTATATCTATGTGTACCTTCATTGGACCATAGTTTTCATATTAGGGGATGAACCTAAAGTGTTTGTATTTATCTTAGATGATATTTGAAAGTGAATCAATCCATGTCAAGGTTTATAATATCATGCACATGTATTCTCAATATCTCATTTTATTAATATGTCAGTTCTCAGAAGTATACTATTACTATTGAGAAACCTTACTTTGAAAAGGAGCCAATGCAAGGGAGACTTATTGGTATTTAGTTAAAGTGTGAGACTTCAGATCACCAAAACTCACTTAGATGCCAAGTGAACATGGCAACTCACCTGTATTTCCAGCCTTATGAGACAGATGGGTGATCCCCAGAACAAGCATGCAGTCAAGACTAG